GAGACCACCCTGGGCCAACTGATCCATGCTTGTGTGTGGAATAGATTCCAATTTGGTGATACTCATGTGGAAAGCTATGATGATGATCAGAGGGTCCACATTGATGGTTAGGAAGACCCCACAATGGGTGTATGTATGTGAAAATTTAATGATATCCAAACAGACCTAATGTGGAAAATATAAAGAAAAACAGAGGTGTTGGTTTTATAATTAAAAAGTGGAATAAAAAAAAGCCAGGGTCCAAACAGAGACACATACCCAAAAAAAAAAAAAAAAAAAAAAAAAAAAAAAAAAATAATAGTCCAAACAGAAAAGAAAAGAGAACATGGGGGAGGGAAGAGAACACAAAAAGGACAACTAGAGTAGAGAAGAGAGAGATGGATGATGGAAAGAAAAGGACCAATTTTGATTGGAGGGTGGGTGTGAGTAGGGTTTATTTTATGTTTTTTTTGGGTGCCCCGGAAAGGATTTATTAAAGCAAAGACAGGGAGGACCAACTCAAGTGCACCTTGTCACGCAGCTGTCATTAGATTATACAAATCCAGCTAGACCTCTTTTTGTTTTTAATACTTCCTCCGTCCATTTTATTGGTTTACCTTTTAATTTTAAATCCAGCTAGACCTAAGGCTCCGTTTGGCAAGAATTTTTTTAGTTATTTTAGTCACAAAAGATAAAATAGATTATTTTAGTCACAATAAACAAAATATTACATCTAACCCATAATCATTATATCATTCTCTCACAAAAAAAATCAAAAAATCAAAAGTTAAAAAGTCCTTTACAAACCAAGTTTTTTAACCCAGGTTAAAATAGCTAAAAAAATCAAAAAGTAAAAAAACCAACTCACTTTCCAAATAGAGGCTTAATTTAGCTTTTCAAAACTACTCTTTATATATCATTATAAACATTATTCAAAATTTAAATAGAATGGCAATAAAAAAAATTTAAAATTTGAATTAAAATATAATAATTGTATGTCTCCGTATTAGGTTGGATTTTCTATAATAGACAAATAAATTGATACAGAAAAAATATTTTTTTATCACCTTAATTTTAATTTTGATCAATTATGATTAGTTAAATTAGCCTTGTTGGAGCCTATTTTCTCACAAAAGTTAAAAACGTGAGATATTAGTTACCTGTCTATTTCGTGCAGTTTCTTAGTTTAAAATGACTAATTAAAAAGTAAAATTTTAAATATTTTTTTCTAAATGTTTTAATATTTTATTATCTTAGTTTGTATATTATTATTTAACCCATAACTTTTAAGGAGTGTTTTGGAAAGAAGGTTAAAAATTAACTTTGAGTTTTTTATTCATTTTGGATCACATCACCTTTTATATTTTTTTACTCATAAAAAGACAAAATAGATTAAAAAAAATTAAAAAGTCAATTTTTTAATCAATTTTTCAAAACACTCCTGAGGCCTCGTTTGAGAACAGGCTAATTTAGTAACTTTTTGGCTATTTGGCTAAAATATGAGTTAAAAAAACTAGTATGTTTGGGATGATTTTTTGACTTTTTACGAAAAGTTGTACAAAAAGTAGAGAGAAAAAAGAACCTTTGACTTTTTGGTATGGGTTGTTGGCTTTTTGACTTTTTAGTAATTTTTTGACTTTTTAGCTAAACTAGCCTGTTGCCAAACGAGGCTTAAGTAGAAGTTATGACAAAATATTTAGTACGAATTTTTTTTTTTTAAAAAAAAAAAAGAAAGAAAAGAGAAGTTGTAGACGGCCCTTAAGGCTTCGTTTGGGAAGTGGGTTAGTTTTTTAATTTTTTTAATTTTTTTGAATTTTTTTTAGAGAATGAATGCAATGATTATGGATTGGATGTAATATTTTATCTTATTGGGCTAAAAAGTCTATTTTGTTTTTTGTGACTATTTTAACGAAAAAAGCTCCAAACCTCTCTTCCCAAACGGAGCTTAAAATTGTATCAAATAATGCCTCGTTTGGAAATATGTTTTTGTAGTAACTTTGTAGATTTTTGGCTAAAATGTGATGTAAAAAAAATTAATACGTTTGGGATGACTTTTTGACCTATTTACGAAAAGATGTATAAAAAGTAGAGAGAAAATGGAATCTTTGACTTTTTGGTATGAGTTGTTAGTTTTTTAATTTTTTTAATAATTTTTAAAATTTTTGACTTTTTAACTAAAAAAGTCACTTGTCAAATGTGGCGCAAGTCATTATTACATACAATTGATCAAGACCAAGTTTAATAATATTTAATTTCAAGCTAACGGATAGTTTCAGAAACAAATTGAAAATTATAAATCACGTAAGGGGAGTAATTTTATATTTCACAAGTACCTAATAAAAATAAGTATCATCACAATCCTAAATTATTTTACTAATCAATATTGCCCCTCTTATAAAACTTTTTAATTCATTATTAACTAGCAACAGACCCGTGCTATGCACAAAGTAAAATTTTTGAATTTTTTTAAATGTAAAATATTATAAAATAAAAATAATTTATCATATATATTTGAACTCTAAAAAGTAATTTCTAATAAAACAAAAATAATTCAATAATTTTAAACTAACTATTAAAATTAAATTGTAAAAAGATTGCCAAATTTTATTAAGGACTATTATATTCTATATTGATTATGTGAATTATCTACTAAGTATATTTGGTCAATATTGATTATGTGTCAACCCAACCCCTACACATTTGATTAGCGTAGCTATCCTAAACCTGACCCTAATTTTTTTAAAAAAAAATTTCCACTCCGCTCATCTAATCTATTATACATAGACTATTATTATTATTAGGGGCGTGTACGGTGCGGTTCGGACGGTTTAAGTGGTTTTGGACAGATTATCGAATAACGGATTGACGGATTGCAATTTGAATGGTTTTGGACAGATTGGTAGATTAAAAAATATTCTAATCAATTATCAAACTTTTACATAATATCTAACACTAATTTTTATAATATTTTTCATATATATAACACAAGTTAATTTTACATAATATTTTTCATATATATAACTACTGATTTGTACTCAAATATTAAATCTCTTTCACACACATTTTTACTTTAATATCTCATTATAAGTTAAAAAATATATGTATTAACTATAGCGAAACGGAATAATTTCGAAGGCGGATTATAAATTTTAAAATTTAAACCGTGGTTAGTGGATATGGCAGTGCGGACTGATGCGAATCGGTAAGGTTTTAAGCAGATTATGCCGCATTTTGCACAACCCTAATTATTATTATTATTGTTGTTGTTGTTGTTGTTCTTCTTCTTCTTGTTTTGGGGTGTCTTGGAGTGCTTTTAAATGAATTTGCCATTTTTAATAATAATTTCAATTTGGACCATTAGCAAAATTCAATTGAAAATAATTTTTGCCCTTTTAACAAATGTTTGCCTTTAAGCTCTTAAAAACACACACACACATATATATGTTATTGTTCATTTTTTTTTTTTTTACAAATGTTTTGAGAAAAATGTAAATAGGGAAAATGTTAAAAATAAATTATTTCAAAAAATATTGTTTAGTTCAAAACCACAAAATTTAGAAAAATAAAAATTTGATTAAAGAAAACTAAAATGAACCAAAATAATAAGTTTGTAACAATTAAAAGAACTAATGTTAAGATAATCAGTAATTCTGTATCTGCTAAATTCATATACGTGATTTATTTATTTTATAAAGTATAACTAAGTTAATGAATAAGTATAATTTAATTTGGCTATAGAAAAGAAAGAAAGAAAGAAAGAAAGAAAGAAAGAAAAATTGGCAAAGTCATAATATTTTGAAGCTCAAAGACATTTTTTGAGTTTTTTTATTTTTCATTTTTTTTATCTTTAGTAATTTTTTTTTTTCATGTTTCACTTATTTTTTTTTCTCTCTTTTTTTTTTTATATACACTTAATTTAAATGCACTTAAAAAGTAAAATTTGTGAAAAAGATTATAAAAAAAATCACTAAAAATGAAAAGGTAAAAAATAAAACAAAAAAATGCACATTTTTGGTAGTGTTTTTTCTTTAGTAATTTTTTGAAAATTTTCTTTCATAAATATCTTAATTTGTAGATGTATTTGATTGAAATATTAAAAATAAAATGATTTTATTGAAGATAAAAAAAAAACAAAAACCCAAAAACAATTTTAAGAAATTAAACAAAACAAATCTAATAAGCATATTTTTAATAAAAATAAATAAATAATTATTAATAATTTTTGTTCCATATGTTTCCTTCTATGTAAGAATTTAAAATACAATTTTTAAAATCTTTCTATATTAGTCTTTCCATATCGTTTTTCTTAAATCATGTTACCACAATTGTAATGTAATATTATTTGAGAATAATTACTATTTTTGCATTATTTTCAAATAATTCTTAATTTGGAAAATAAAACCCTACCCCTAAATCTTTCCAAAATTTAAAATTCAATTTTGAAAATCTTTTCATATTAGTCTTTGGAGGCAATATAATTAAAGAAAATTTGTAAAGTCATTATTAATGAATTAACTTAATTTAAAATTAATGTTATTTTCAAATTGACTTTTGTAGGTACAAAGTTTCCTTTTCCAAATTAAGAAAATAAATTAGAAAATAATGTTAATTTTAACTAAACTTTAATTTTTCTGGTAACATAGTTTAAAAGTGTTACGGTAATCTATTGCATAAATTAATATTTTAAGCGATAAACAAGTATTTATATGCGTGAAAAAAAAATGCTCATGATTGTGTATTTATATTTTAATCTCTTGTTTTGAACTTTAGTAAGAGATAAGTTTGGACAAATAAGAAAAAATTTTCTTTTAACTTTGGTTTTGGAAAAACATAAATTATGAAATAATTAATATTTTTATAATTATTACATTAATGTATTAGTCAATAATATTATTTTAAAATTACTTTCTAATTCAAAAATCTAATTAAAATTTTGAAACTCTCACAAATCAGTTTATTATAATAGATAGTATATACTAAAAAAAATACTATGAATAATGTACTACTGAATAATTACTCTTTTGAGACACACAACTCCTATTACAGCAAAAAAAGAGTTTGCAGCTGTCGGATCTCTCTCTCTCTCTTCTCCCCTCCTCTCTCTCTCTCTGTCTCTCTCTCCTCCCACCAGCTCTTAGTTTTTCCCTTCCTCTTCTAGTTAAACACAAACTCCTACTCCAAACAACCCAACCCATGAAACATTAACAACACAACAAACAACAAAAACATCTCTCTCTCTCTCTCTGTAACTAGTTATATTTTGTGTAGTATTGAGAGAAAGAACCAAAACTTCTATTAGCAACCATATATTTGATGTACATCAAGAGTTGATGCACAAGAAGAAGATCCCAATTGTTGGTTTGATGATTTAGATGCCATGGCATATCAGCATTATCGATCGCCGTTCGGCGACACGACTTTCACCAAAGTGTTCGTCGGAGGACTGGCTTGGGAAACGCCGACAGACGTAATGCGCAGTTATTTTGAGCAGTTCGGAGGAGAAATTCTTGAAGCTGTCATCATCGCCGATAAGAACACCGGAAAGTCTAAAGGATACGGATTTGTAAGTTGAAACCTCAATAATTTGATTTTTCTATCCTATCTAATTAATTACTATAGTAATATATGTACTTATTGGTATATTAATTTATATATTAATGTAATTATAATATTATTATTTTAAAATTAAGACTCTATTTATTATATAAATTATAAAAATTTAGTTTTGTTATATTATTTATTAATATATTAATTGATATGCTAATTAATGTATATAGTATTATTCAATTAATTATGTTTCCTATGTTTGTTTGCTGGATGGACCGTTAGTTTTGGGATTAGTGCTGGGGTCGTTTCCAATTCGATGCGGTCATGTTGGCCCATTTGTGAGCCCACCACATATCTGATCTGATTTAAATAGTTTATTTTGTAAATTTTTTAAACATATTATTTATATAAAAAATTAGCCGAACAACAATAGACACTTAATAGTATTATATTTATCTTAAAAAATATACTGTCTATTTATTTGAATATAAATTAGTATGTTTGGTTTTAATTTTTTGAATATAATTTTTTGAAAATTAAGTTTTTTATTTTTTGTGTTTTTTTTTTTAAATTTTATATTTAGTGAATATTTTAGAATTTTAAATTTTTTCAATATTTTTTTAGATAAACATTATTTAGATGTATTTAAATAGTAAACTATTTATGAAAAAATATTTTAAAAATTAATAAATTCATAAAAATACGAAAAATATACTGAATTTTTATATTTTTTTGATTATATTTTTGATATTTAGTGAATTATTTAATTTTTTTCCACAAATATTATACTTTTTAAGTATATTTATGTTATATGTGTTTAAAAATTAAAAAAATTGATATGTGTCTAAAAATTAAAAAAATTATTTAAAATATTAAAAAAAAATTAGTGAAAACAAAAAATACGAAATATGAGAAAGTATAATTTTTTGAAAAATGAATTCTGAAAATAGAAATCAAACATAGTAAATGTGATTCGATTATGTAACTACAATTATTTATATAGTTGATTTGATTGGAGGACCCTGGAAGATAAAAAAATTCACAAAGATAGCCCCTTGAGTTGGATTTACCAATTGGAGTGAACAATAAGTATTGGGATTATGGGAGAAATTGTATGATAGGTCTCCCACACCATCATAGTCATATAGTGTGCCCAATTATGCCCAATAATACGGATAATCGTATCCGTATTGGTACGATATGTGTATGTCGATATGATAAATTTTTTTTTTTTTTTAAAAGGTACATGTATGCCTTGATACGATTATAAAAAAATATTTATTTTTAATTTAGAATAATATAAATATTAATTAAATGGTTTAATTTGTTAAGGTCCAATCAATAATTAATATTTAATGTTAAAAGTAACAGTATAAATCAAAATTAAATGTCAATATATTAAATAACTTATAAATAATAGTTTAATTTTAAAATCATGCTAAGTATAAAACAAAAAATAAAAAAAAATCTAGTGAAAAAAGTTTTATTTTTGTAGTAGAAAAAAATATTATTTCAACTAAGACACGGTATGATTTGGGTATATACTAATTACATCTGGATATGCTAAAAATTAAAAAAAAAAATTTGGATATATATTTCGTGTACCTGATACGTATGCAAAAGCATCATACAAAGTATCATATGTCGGTAAATATTCAATACGGGTACGAGAGTTTTTCAAATTACCCATATTTCGTGGATGCCCACCTAATGAAGTTTTAAAAAATGTGATAGTTATTTGTAAAATTTCTAAAATTACTTCATGTGTATGTATTGTTTCTATTGGCTGGCTACACTGCTCATGTGGAACTCAAGACCTATGGTATAAGTTCTCAGACTGAGAGGTCGTATGAAAACAGGTTAAAACAATAAAAAATAAAAATCCCTAAAAAGGCAAAAAAGGCTCAAAAATATAAAAAAGTTGTACAAAAAAAGTTAAAAATTCTTTCTCATTCTTTATATCTTTTTGTATTTTTTGTTTTAAAAAGTGAAAGAGTTATTTCCAAATTTTAATATTTTTCAAGTCACATTTTAACTAAAAAATTATTAAAAAAGTCAATTTCAAACAAACCCTATATATTATGTTCGGAATATCTCAGAATAAGGGGAGATTAATAGAATTATGTTTATTTAAAATTACCAGTAGAGATGAACTATATAGTGTGATGATTTTAATTTGAGAATGTTTTAATCTTTTAACCCTTAATCGAACCCTCTTAATCTGCATTTTGTATCCCGTGCATTGAGATATACAAGATTGTCAAATGAGAAATTCACTTTGGTATCCAACATGCATAAGATTTAGGATTAATCAGAACACACAGTACAATCCCAACAAAACACAACCAAGTTTTTGGAGGCCTAAATTTGTCAATGAACAGGTGACTTTCGGTGATGCGGAATCGGCAAGGAGGGCTTGTGCTGATCCAAACCCTGTCATTGATGGGAGAAGAGCAAACTGTAACATCGCTTCACTAGGGCGCCCTCGACCATCAACGCCGCGAGGTAGACATATATAGTTGAATGCATTATTATATCTATGCTCATTTTTTTTTCCTTGATTTTTTGCCTATCATATAGTTTGGTAGTTATATGATTTGCATTATTTGTATACTAATGAGGAACATTAATTTTTTTTGGGGTTTTTTTTTGTTAATGTAGGTAGAAATCAAGGTGGTAGTAATCCTTATCACGGAGGTGCAGTGGCACAGGGTACATCACCATCATCATCCTACCGAGCACCGCCACCGGCACCATTACCTCCACCACCTCCTCCTCCTGTCATGTATCCACCTTATGGGTAAGTTGCTGTTTTTTGTTTTGTTTTGTTTTGTTTTTTTTTCATGTGCTAGTGTTAGTAACCAAAATAAACAAATATAAATTTCATTTAAAAAATATATATTCACTCAATAAATATGATGTATATGTAGGGGTCGATTAAATCTAGCAATAGTAGAATTCAGTGCTAGGCATTGGGCAAGCATAGAATTGACAGAAGACAGCTTAGATACTGCATTATTTCTCATAATTAAATGTTTTGTTCGGGTCAATTAATGTACAATAGATGAGTTGGCCATGAGAGAGATATGCGTAAGGCTTTGTTTATCAGCAGGCACGCTTGATCACAATGAATTCCCACAGAGATTGGTCCAAAATTATTGATATTATACTGACAAAAAGTTGAGTTTGAAATTTCTATTAGGACATAGCAAATTTAAAATAATATAACATGATAATAAAGATAAATGAGTTGAGATAATATTAAAAAAAAAAATTATAATTTTCACTCAAAATGACACGATACAAACTATGATATGATTTCCCCTAATCAAGGCCTCGTTTGGGAACAGGCTAATTTAGTAACTTTTTGGCTATTTGGCTAAAAAGGTAGGTAAAAAAAACTTGTATGTTTGGGATGACTTTTTGGCTAATTACGAAAAGATGTGCAAAAAGTAGAGAGAAAAGAGAATCTTTGACTTTTTGGTATGAGTTGTTGGCTTTTTGACTAATTTAATAACTTTTTGACTAATTGGCTAAAATAGCCTCTTGCCAAACGAGGCGTCTATGTACATAGTCAAACTAGGTACATTTGTCTCAAAGAATGGGGTCCCGGTACTAATGAGTGTAAATGTACAGTTCATTTGTACATGACAGAGAGATATAATTCTATGGATAAATTATAAATATATTTTTTTGACATTTATTTAAATTACGATTTGTCTCTTGTAGTTTAAAAAATTACAAATATTTTTTTGTTAAATTTTTTTATTTAACAGAATTAATTGAAGAAATAAAATGTTTAACTGTTCACCTATACAATAATAAAATTATCTGAATTATTAATTGAAATAAAATTTTAACATTATTAAAAACTGTTAATTAACTTAATGATTTATTAATAAAAGGACCTATTTGTAATGAAATTAGAAATCTTAGGGAACATAATGTAATTTCTAAAATCACAGGGGTAATTTGTAATTTAAGTAAATCTTAGTAGGTGTATTTGTAATTTACCTAATTTTATTAGAAAAAAAATTGACACAATTTAAATGTTAGGGATAAAATTAAAATATTTTTATACATTAGAGACTAAAATAATACAAGATTTATAATTAATTTTAAAATTTATATATTTTTTTATACAAAAATTTTATTTGCCAATCGCTTATTCCTTCAATAAAATGTGTACCCATACCAAGCATAATAGCTTGGAAAAAGCGAGTGAATTAAATGACCAGTCCAAGCAACAGCCTAAACTTGGCACATGATCTTCCACTCAGGTCTATGCATGTTCAATTTCAACATCGGGTTGGTGTTAGGAGCTCAAAATACTGGATGCTCGAGTAGGCACAATAGATGAGTTGGCATTAGAGTGAGCCTTAAAATTTCGAACTACCTGGTAGCTGTATTTTTTTATAGGCACAATATTGTGTTGTAAATTTTTTGAGGTTTATTTTAAATTTATTTTAATAATTTAAATCGTTCATAATGTAAGATTTATTAAGCAAATTATTCATGAAAAAATTTAAATTAATTAGACATATGTAACACACAACAAAACCACATTTATGTTTAGAAAAAATAAATAGTTAGCATGATTTTAATAATTTTTTAGGGTTATTATTCAACTTGATCTTGTGGTTATACTTATTTGATTAAATTAATTTTTTATACGAATGATATATTCAACGAATCTTGTAATATAAACAGCTTAAATCATCAAAATATGATTTGAATAAATCTTACGGGATGTGACAATATACTTATCAGATTAAATTAATTTTTTATATAAATAAATACTCAATAAATTTTATAATATGAACAACTTAAATCATCAAATATGATCCGAATAAAGCTCACGGACTACACCGACCCCAAATTCCTGGAATTATTTGCTTTGATGTTTATTTATTATTTATTCATAAATATTCAAGTCGAGTACCCACCATAACTAACCGTATGGTTGGTGTTAGTTGCATCAGATGTAGGACCCCAATTGTTGTTTGTTCGGCGCAAACATAATTCTCTATTTTTATTTATTATTATTATATTTCAAAACATTAAATCCCATTTAAAGTAATATCCATTTTCATTTTTCTTTTTTAAATCTTTCTTCAAAATTTTCAACCAAATACAACATTAATAAATATATTTTGAGTGTGATTCATGTCATTGTGTGATCCAAATGTGCCCAACTCGAATGAGACTTGAGAGACTTGAGCTCAGCCTGAGCCTAAGGTTTGAAGTCCCCATATGTTGATCCATAAAAAATTATGAGAAAATAAGAGAAAATTCAAAAATTCAAAAAATAGGCTTTGAATCACATCTGTTTGGCTAAACGCTCTGGTTGGGTTGCAAGTTCAGTTGACCCGTGATGACCTGCAAGTCCAATTGATATGTGAGAGACTTGACCCGTATATTGGCACGACCCACTACTCCGTTAGGTAGAAGTTGGGCTTAAGATTTTGACATATGGTTGAGCAGAGCCAACCCCACCCTAGGTTTACATGACTTCAAAATTTTAATTTAGGATGAATTAATTTACATGATATATTAATTTGATTCTTATTATTTTAATTTATTTGATTTTGTCTCTTAATTTAACGGATTGTATCATATTGGTCCAACAAAGAATGACTATTAAGTTTGGTGGATGGAAAGTTGTCATGTGCTCAAACGATGTGTCAATTTGGTCTTTATAGTTTACACGATGTGTCAATTTGGTCTTTATTATTTTAATTTGCTCGATTTTGACAAAGACCAAATTAACAAATTGTGCAAATCACAGGGACCAAATTAACATATCGTTCGAATTTCTGTTCACTAAACGTAATGGCTGTTATTTATTGAATCAATATGACACAATACGTTAAATTAAGGAACAAAATCAAGCAAATTAAAATAACAGAGACTAAATTGACATGTGTAAATTACAGTAACCATTACATAATTTGCCCTTTAATTTAACCATATTTTTCAAAAAATATAAATATTTTGTCCAATACAACCTTTTTAAATTCATATGTTTATGTAACTGGGCAGAGTTTGTATAACCCACAACTTCAGCAAGCACAATATTACCATCAACTTTATGGAGGGTCATCATCAACTATGGGCTCTCCATACTTCTATGGATATTCCATGCAAGCTTCAAGGGGACCATTTCCTACGCCCCAGGCACAACGTATCCAAGGACCATCTTACCTTCACTATCCTACGCAGATGGAGGGGTCCTTCTCTCCCTATCCATCCCCCCCTCCTCTTCTACCCTTGCAACCACAACCACCACCAACAACAATAAGGCATCCCCATCCTTCTTCCACTGGTAAGTCCTAACCATCCCTCCCATTCATATAAAGTAATGTTATAATAATAATAATATTCATAATTCTTGTAATTTATGTTTTGTATCAATCTAAGTTATTGTAATCATATTATATCTAATTGATAAAGACTCTTTAGAAATCAGACTCAAATAAGAGATAAAATAATCTATTTTCTCTATTCAAATTGATTGAAAGTTTTATATCTTATTTGAAATGGTTCAAATCTCTTTTAAATAGACTATTTTATATGTGATTTGTATATAATTTTTTAATAGATCAATTAGATTAAATTGATACAGTATAAATAATTATAAACAAAATTGATATAATTAAAATTATAATAATCAAATTATAAAGACAACAAATATAATTTACCCATAAAAAATGAGGCGTATATATTAGATCCATTCAAATATAATAATATGATACTTTTAAGTCCACACCTCATTTTTTTAACAATATTTTGAATTATTTTTTATTTTTATTTTTTCTTTTTCTTTCGTATATTACATGACTAGACATATGTGTCAACCACATTCACAAATTTGAGAGAGTAGGCATGTGTGACTATTTATATATAGTGTGAACTCAGATGATATTAGCATATTAATTACTACATTGAGATTGACATGATATTAGCACAGTCCTCTATGTATGACATGTACTGATCATATGACATGAACCATGGGTGGGGGTACACGTGGGCAGGCACTAACATGTGACATTTACTGTCCAATTTGTGGTGAGAGACGAATCACAGAAGTAAATTTATAATTTTAAATAACGAATATGTATTTAGAAAATGATTATTTTTATTAAAAATATATAAAAAATAATAATATTAATAATTTATAATAATTTTTTAATTAAATGATATTTAAAATCCGGTCAAACGAAAACATCATGGCAGAGGGGAAAAGTGTAAACTAACGGTGACCGCATCCGCATGCACCTGAATTCAGTCCAGTAGCCATTGAATCCAATGTTTGATAACCTTAAAAAAAAAATTGTCAAAAATTTAAGGGTTGTTTGAGATGTTTAAAATAAGTGTACTTTTTAATTTTTTATGAAATATACATTGAATTTGAAGTAATGTGATAGAGGTAATATGACTTAAATAAAATAGTGAATTTTTAACGTTTTAATTTTTTTAAGAGATGTCAAACCTAACCTTAAAGTCAGTTCACTACATTCTTCTAGTTGAGCCCCCAATCCCACACCCAATAACGTGAATGAAAAAAATTAAGTTTAACAACATTCTTCTAGTTGAGCCCCCAATCCCACACCCAATAACGTGAATGAAAAAAATTAAGTTTAACAGAGAGAGAAGAGTGTGGATGTATTTTCACATCAGTCCTAGACACGTTATTAGGTGTGAAATTGGGGACACTCAATTAGGGGATGAATTATTTTTCATTTAAAATAAGTTTCGTTTGGGTATCTCGGTTAGGATTGAAAAAGCATAAAAGATAAAAATAATTTAAATAAGTCAATAAGATAAAACGTCACATTCAAATAATAACCATTTTACTTTTTCTATTACAAAAATCAAAAAAATTAAAAAGTTTTTGCCAAATGAATTTTTTAGTCCTAAGCTTAAAAAATCTCAACTGTAAAAAGTCCACTAAAAAAGTTTCTATCAAATCACAACAAAATTTACAGTCCTGTCACATCTCCTAATTGAGGCCTCTAATTTCACCCCAATGACCTATTAAGGCCCATGTAAAACGGTCTCACACTCTTTTATCTCATCTTTAGTCCTCTCTAATTTACACTCTTTTATCTCATCTTTAGTCCTCTCTAATTTCACATCATTGAGAGACAAAATTAAGGAAATGAATCATTTTTCATGTGTATAGTGATTCATTTAGATGTTGCTCAAATATCATATAAAATTTAAATTTATATCATATTTTATAATTTTAACTTAAAATTCTTGAAACATGACTCTTAAATTTATCAACAATGACATAAATTATTTCATGTCAACCACGTAATACCCAACTCTTTCCATGTTATTAGGGTAGAATTGAGGGATCAAGATCTCTAACATTTATATTCACGAAAAAACAGAGAAGAAGAAAGATATAAAAATTATAAATTACACGAACATAAAATAATATAAAGTTGATGTGATTTCCCCAAAATTAGAGTTACGTTTACGGTCGCTGTAATTCTATTTTATGATAAAAGGTACAAGTGATAATTGTCCCCGTAACTATATGTATAATGAATTAGGATAACAAATCACAAGTACAAAATATCTTTATTCCAAATTCTGGTTGGGTGTCAACCACCCAAACCTCCAAAAGAGAATCCATAATTTAGGCAATTAGTGCCTAATACTTATTAAGATTCACACTACCGCAATAGCTGGTCACTAGCTTGGTAACCCATCCAACCCGCCCATCCCAATCTCTACTTTCAGAGCTTGAGATTTATACTCTAGTCCATATAGAATTTATATAATTCTTTCTATGTGTACAGTAAATGAATAAAATTGGGATGAATTTTTTGACATATTTGTTAAATGAGCCAAATTTAGAAATATGGCTTGGAGCCTAACCTGACTTGATTATCATTATATAAATTCTGTGTTATATGTATATGTATACGTATTAGTGTGTATGGTACATTATATAATTTATTTAGTTTTGTTTTTAAAAGTAAAATAAATGCATTCAAGAAGGAAAATGCACCCAACAAGACATGAATTTGGTATTGACTTAATAATAATTTTTGCGTCAACTCAATTATAAATTTGTTGATATTTAATTTTATATCATATATAACTTTTTGGATTAATATTTGTTTATGATATCAGATCATAATAAAATGACTAAAATATCCCCACCCAAATTAAGAAATTTACCCTCAAGTTGTAAACATGGAGGGTAGTCTTGTAATTCCACAGCATGCATTTTATGGTCTTCCCAAATGATAATCTGGCATTTTTTGCTGTTGTGGGCTGCGTTTTTCGAGCTGCTGAACGCAACTTTTTGCTGCGTTCTCAAAAGAGCACAAAAGCTAAAACAAGGGAAAATGTGTGTGAAATTAAGTGAAATGTAAATATATTTTATTCACATTTCACCTAACTTTTTTCTTTCCCTTTTCAAATCCCTCCTCAAATTCTCTAACCAAACACAGCGTTAAGAGTTGATAGATTCCTCCTTTTATTTTGTCTTTCCTCTAGCTAAGTTAACTAATTGAGAGGTAAGAAAGTTCAGGTTTTCTTCCATTCTATGCAATTGAGTGAATGAGTTCAAGGCTTCGAAAGGACAGTTTTCAAGTTTTTATTTTATTTTCTCTCAATATAAATTATGCATGTTAATTTAAAGTATCCTGTGAAGTGTAATGCTTTATAAATATAAATTTGATTCTTTTATCTGTTTTCTTTTTTTAACTACATGACACAAATGTAGTGAGGTTTACATTAATAATTAAATATACATATTATTCATTATTTTGTATCTAATGATAGGAAAAATCTTACAAGAAATTGATTTAAGCTTGTGACAAAGGTTATTTACAATGTATGTACTCTATTTTTATCCTAATTTTAACTTATAAATTGTTATGGTTGGTGTCAGATTTACAGACTCCACAGTATACCTCAACAATAGAAACAGAAGTTGTTGCCATTACTTCAGAAAGTCCAAATACCTAAGGGAGAAACTCATCCAAATATATATGGTTTGATGAAAAGTTTTCATTATACAATCTCAACAAGTTACTGTCCTCATCTTTCTCTCTAAATCTCTCTCTAATTACTCAACTGGTCATAAATTTTTTTGTTTGGTCCAAAGCTATAGCTATTGGTGAAGGCCACTTGCAATCTCAACAGCTATGGGAGACAAAGATGGACTAAGCAATCATCTTATGCAGATTATTTATTTATTTATTTATTGCTCCAGACCAACAAATTTTTTTTTTCTTTTCATTTTTTTTTAATATTTTAATTTGGGTTACTAAATTATGAATGTATGGACAGAAGGGAATTGCAGCCCCTGCAATGAAGAAATTTTTCTAAAAATATTGTAGGCTTCTAATTAATTTTTCCCTATTTTTTGTGGGAAAAGAAGTTTAATATAAATGACATGAACTTCTATGTCAAATTTGGACTGTGTTTAAGTTGATCAATTCTTTTGTTTTTTTTGGATGGCAAGTTGATTAATGTTTTAGCATGCTACTTTTGGGGGATTAATTATAGAAAGGGTACATGGATGCTCTAGCTAGTAACAATGATATCAACATGTGGGATTAATAATTTAATATCATTCAATTATGGAATGGGAGATTATATTAATCAAATATGTTAAAGATGGTGAACTTTCTATGATGGATACGTTTTACTTATTTTATTTTTTGGGAAGATGGAAGTTTGGATCTGGATTTTTGTTTAGTGAGGACAAAACTATACACATTTTGTTTTCTTATTTAAAAATCTCTTATCTAAAATCCTAAATATAGAAAATCGCTAATATATACAATTAGTTTGGAAATTTTAATGTAGTAAAAAAACAAGGAGGAGGATTCCCTCGGGTCCAAAATCTGGAATAGAGGGGACTGTTTGGACTGTGGAGCTTACTACGAGTCCCGTTTTGTGATCGAAACCGTTCATTTTGTCAGGCAATTCGCATATTTCATTCATAAAAAAATTAGATCGATCCGATAATTGTATTTTGCCTAATTTACCACATTTTTCACTAAAAAATAGATGACAATTATGTTTTTAAAAAATGAATGATACATTTTTTTCATAACAAAAGTAATAAATTAAACAAGTTGTAATTATCGAATCGACTTAATTTTTTTATGAATGAAATATACGAATATCTGACAAAATGAATGATTTGAATAATCAAAATGGAACTCGTGGTGAACCACACAGCCTAAACAAACCCCCTCTAGTAATCTTCCTCCAAAAAACAAAATTTTAGATGAGTAAATGGAATTTTTTTTAAAATAGAGTACTTTAAGACCGATATCTTTTTTCATGCAATCTCTGACTTAAGGTTTCAGAGAGCCTTGCGTATTTGGGGAAACAATAGCAAATTTTGTTGTGAAACAGTGGCAGATTATTATTATTTTTATTTTATTTTTTTGCTTTTATTTTTTAAGAACTCAACCTAAATATTAAAATGAGATTTTATCATTTTAGTGGACTTTAAATGATGAGCTAAGTGGTCAAATTGTTTTTTTTTTTTTTGATGACCTGGCGTTCGAGTCAGTTTACGCACACAACTAATCTTAGAATTCATGCAAAGTGCCCTCTCCACGTGCATCGGACAAATCTCAGACAGAACTCGTAGAAGTGATCTCAAGAAGTTGATAGCCCTTAGTGGGAGTTGAACCTTGGGGCCTAAGTTGGATAGACCTTTCCAGTGCATTGATAATGAACAGAAAACCAGAGTTCTAGAAGCTGATTTCTCTGCATTAGAGGTCTGGGTTGCTATTAAAGGGTGTGATGGTAATAAAGCATTTGGTCCGGCCAGTTTCAACTTGACTTTTTTTCAGAAATGCTGGCTAGTGCTCAAGAATGACATCATGTGCTTTTTCAAGGAATTCCATGAGCAAGGGAGGTTGCTTAAAGGGCTTAATAGCTCCTTTGTGGCCCTTATTCTTAAGAAAGATAATCATATTAGTATAGTTGACTGCAGGCCAATTAGTTTAATTGTGTCAGACTATAAAATCTTAGCTAAGGTGCTTGCTGCAAGGCTGAAGTTGGTGCTGCCAAAGATCATAGGGATGTGCAATTTGCTTTTGTGGGAGGTACGAATATACAAGATGGGGTGCTTATTGCCAATGAAGTGGTGGATGATTGGAAGAAGGGGAAGAAGAAAGGGATGATTTTAAAATTGAATTTCAAGAAAGCTTACGATTCTGGGATTTTTTTATTCTCTATGCCGGCTAATTTTGGATTCAAAACTAGATGGATTACATGGATGAAAGCTTGTGTGACTACTGCAAGAATCTCAATTCTAGTAAATGGCTTCCCAACTAATGAATTCAACCTTGAAAGAAGTCTCAGGCAGGGTGACCCTTTGTCACATTTCTTATTCATTATTGTGTCTGAGGGCTTAAATATTTTGCAAACTAGTGCAAAAGATTAGGGTTGCTAAAGGGAGTGACAATGGGCAATGGTGATGAAAACATATCTCACCTACAATTTGCAGATGATACAACAGTTTTTTGCAATGCTAAATGGTGGGAGGTCATGAATGTGAAAAGGATTCCCAGATGTTTTGAGATCATGTCAGGACTCAAGATCAATTACCATAAGAGTAATATCTGTAGAATAAGTGTTCTAGATGAGGTGGTGATTGATATTGCATCTAAACTGAATTCTATGAAGAATTGACCTTTCACTTATTTAGGCCTTCCATTGGGTATAAATCCCAAAAGAAAGAAATGATGTTTGTAATATCTCCTATATAAGGAGTGTCATTTGGTCTTGTAAAATAAGAAGTTTTGAATATAACAGAAATATATTCCTTCTTCCTCATATTTTTGGAGTTCTTCTTCCTCATATTTTCTAAGTCTTACACTCATCAAATCAATATTATCCAGTTTGCCAGTCTATTATATGTCTCTGTTTAAACTACCTGAAGGTGTTGCAAGGACTCTTGATAAAATCCAAGCTTCTTCTCTTTGAGGGAGTTCTGATTTGAAAAGAAAGGTACATTTGGTGAAATGGGAAGAGGTAACCAAGAGTAAAAAACAAGGGGGTCTGGGGGTAAGAATGATCAGAGACTTCAATGATTGCCTGCTAGCAAAGTGGTGGTGGAGGTTTGCAACTGAAACTAAGGCCCTTTGGAGAAGAATTATTTGCTACAAATATGGAATCTCAAGTAGTGGATAGTTTCCTATCAAGGAACTTGAGATCAAGTACTCTAGGACATGGTTGGACATCTTGCTTGTGGCTGACAGTAATCAAAGTCTCAATGATTTTTTTTCCAATAATACAAAGATAATTATAGGTAATGGGGCTAGAGTTATGTTCTGGGATGATGTGTGGTTTAGGAACAAAGCAATTTCAGAAGACTTTTCTAGATTATTTATGCTGTCAGTTGACAAACTAATCTTTTTGAGGGATTGTATTCAACAAAAAAGTGTGTCTGAGGGTTGGAATATGAGATTTAGAAGACCATTATTCGCATGAGAAGAGGAGGAGGTTACAAGATTATATTCTTTGTTAAATGTAACAATACCTGTGTTGAGTAACCATGATGGCATGCTCAAATGGAAGGCTCCCCCATTAAGCCAATCCTTGGTGTCTTAATTACACCAGAGAAATGTACCAGCAGTGGTATGGATCCTTATGTTCATGATTTTCTTTGGAAAAACATCTCTCCCCCAAAAGTTCAATTCTTTGGATAGTTAGTGTAGAAGGGTAAGACTAAAACTTCTAGTTATTTATAGAGAATTGGTGTACTTGGTGCCAACATGAGTAATTCGTGTATTTTCTATAACACTAATAAGGAAACAACTGATCATGTGCTAATGGGCTGATATTCAATTTGGAAGGTTTGGTCTCATTTGATGAATTTGTGGGTATTTTACTAGGTTATACTAGGCTTTTGGGTAGGACTGTTGGAATGGTAGGTTGGTTTTAAGTATAGAAAGATGGAAGTAAGATTGTGGAAAGCCCTGCTGTTAGCATTGGTGTGGTTTGTGTGGAAACACAAAAATGAATGCAAATTCATGAATGCTCTACCAAACTTTGGGGAGTTGCAGGAATTGATTAAAGTTAGAGTGGCTTTATGGATTAAAAGCAATGTAAGGGGGCTGTGTTACTTAGTTCAGGATCTAGTCTCTAATATCCAACAAATTAGAACATCATCCAAGGATATTTGATGAGTGGCTTGGGCTGCCAAGTTATTTTTGGGTGGTGCTTGTGCTTCCTATACATTTTTCAGCTGGTGTTGGCTTTCTTCTCTGTTTTCTTGTTCGGTTGGATCCTCTCCAACTTGGTGGTGTGCTAGCATATGATTGTACTTGCTTATTGGTGCCAACATAGTTAGGATTGTCTTGTGTAGCTATGATGCTTTTTACACTCACCTCCCCTAATCTTTTTTTATGTATTCCCTCATTGTTTGTTAGTTTATATCAATAAAGATTTTCTTTTTTTGCTAATCAAAAAAAAAAAATGTAAAAAATTATTTATGAGTTCTATTTAGAAGACTTATGTAATGTGAAGTTCTATGAATATTCTTTTACAGTTTGAAGTCCTATTTAAATTGGAATGTGTTCCATAAGGTCATATGAGTTGTAAATAAATGATATTATTATACCTCTAATTTGTTTCCATATTGTACCTTATCTTCTCATTCATCATATCACATTTGAGAAGGCTTTTAGGAAAGACAAGTCTATAGACAACAACCATGCAAGTTGTTTTGCCTTGATTGCGGGATTCTAGTGTATTTTCAAAATGCTACTTAAATGAATGCGGATATGGTCGATGATATGATGAATTTTGAGGGTTGTGTGTTGATTCCTCTGATAGATTTCGACTCCAATCAGTTGAGGGGAAGAGGTATTTTATTTTATTTATTTGTTTGTTATTTTTTTGTTGAAGTGTGTTTCTGTTTGTTGAAGTGTGGATTGTTCATCTTTAATAGGACATTGACAATATATTACATTCATTGATAGACACATTTTGGTCAATGAAAAAAAAAAAAAATGTAAAAAACTATTTATAAGTCCTATTTAGAAGACTTATGTAATGTGAAGTTCTATGAATATTCTTTTACAGTTTGAAGTCCTACTTAAATTGGAATGTGTTCCATAAGGTCCTATGAGTTGTAAATAAATGATATTAGTGTACTATTATACCTCTAATTTGTTTCCATATTGTACCTTATCTTCTCATTCATCATATCACGTTTGAGAAGGCTTTTAGGAAAGACAAGTTTATAGGCAACAACTGTGCAAGTTGTTTTTGCCTTGATCGCGGGATTCCAGTGTATTGTCAAAATGCTACTTAAATGGATGCGGATATGGTCGATGATATGATGAAGTTTGAGGGTTGTGTGTTGATTCCTCTGATAGATTTTGACTCCAATCAGTTGAGGGGAAGAGGTATTTTATTTTATTTATTTATTTGTTATTTTTTTGTTGAAGTGTGTTTCTGTTTGTTG